TTCAATTTCAATATACTACATGTGGATTTCCAGTTTTACCTACACCATTTGTTCAAGAGACTATTTTTTCCTCCAATGTATGTTTCCAGCACCTTGGTAAAGTACGAGATAACTGTACTTATGTGGGTTTGTCTCTGTGTCTTCTATTCTGTACCCATTGGTATTTATGTCTGTTTTGGTGCAAATACCATGCCATTTTTGTTACTATGGCTCTGTAGTATAATTTAATGTCTATATTGTAATGCCTCCTGCTTCTCCTTTCTCACTAAGGATTGCTTGGCTATTCTGGGCCTTTTATTTTTCCAAATGAATTTAATAACTGCTCTTTCTATTTCTATGAAGAGCATCATTGGAATTTTAATAGGAATTATATTAAATCTGTATAGCACTTTTGGTAGTATGGCCGTTTTGACAATATTAATTTTGGCTACCCAAGAACATGAACGATCTTTTCATTTTCTAAGGTCTTCTTTAATTTCTTTATTTAGTGTTCTGTAGTTTTCATTGTAGAGATCTTTCACTTCTTTTGTTAGATGGATTCCTAAGTATTTTATTTTATTTTTTGAGGTGAATGGGATAGTTTCCTGATTTGTCTTTTAGCTGATTCATCATTGATATATAGGAATGCAATTGATGTGTGGGTGTTGGTTTTATATCCTGCTGCTTTGCTGAACTCATTTATGAATTCAAGAAGCTTTCTGGTGGAGTTTTTTTAGTTCTAAATATAGAATCCTGTAGTCAGCAAATAGCGGTAGTTTGAGCTCTTTTTTTCCTATTCATATCCCTTTAATTTCTTTCTTTTGTGTAATTGCTAAAACTACACTGAGATCCCATCTCACTCCTGTCAGAATGGCAAGAATACAAGTAACATTCAATGTTGGCTAGGATGTGGGGGACTAGGTACACCCATACATTGCTGGTGAATGGGATAGTTTTCCTAATTTATCTTTTAGTTGATTTATCACTGATGTATAGGAATGCAATTGATTTATAGATGTTAACTTTACATCCTGTTTTCCCCACTGAATTCATTTATGAGATACAGAAGTTTTCTGGTGGAGTTTTTTGGGTCTTCTAAATATAGAAACCATTGCCAGCAAAGAGAGTTTGAGTTCTTCTTTTCCTATTCTTGTACCTTTAATTTCTTTCATCTAATTGCTCTGCTTAGAGTTTCAAGGACTATAATGAATAATAGTGGTGAAAGAAGGAATCCTTGTCTTTGAATGTTTAGAGGGAATGCTTTCAGTTTTTCTCAATTTAGAATGATGTTGGCCTTGGGTTTAACACATTTAGCTTTTACAATGTTGAAATATGTTTCTACCATTCCTAGTTATGCTTGTGTTTTGAATAAGAATGGATGCTGTATTTTGTCAAATGCCTTTTCTGCATCTATTGAGATAACCATGTAATTCTTGTCTTTATATCTGTTTGATGTGATGAATTACATTTATTGATTTACATATGTTGAACCAACCAGTACTTGATCATGGTGCACTATCTTTTTAATATGTTTTTGTAGGCAATTTGCCAGAATTTTATTAAGAATTTTTGCATCTATGTTCATCAGGGACATTGGTCTGAAGTTTCCTTTCTTTGATGGGTCTTTGTCTGGTTTCATAGAATGAGTTTGGAAGGATTCCTTCCTTTTCTATTTCATGAAATAATTTGAGAGGTATTGGTGTAAGCTCTTCTTTGAAGGTCTTGTAGAACTCAGTTGAGAAGCTATCTGGTCCTATGCCTTTCTTTGTTGGTAGGCTTTTGATGGCATCTTCAATTTCTTTGCTTAAAATTGATCCATTTAAGTATTCCTCCTGATTCAATTTGGATAGGACACATGTCTCTGGAAATTTGCTGATGCCTTCAAGATTTTCTATTTTATTAGAATATAAATTTTCAAAAGAGTATCTTATTATTGTTGGTATTTAAGTAGTGTCTGTCATAATCTTTTCTTTTTCATCACAAATTTTGCTGGGTATAGTATTCTTGGCTAGCATCCATTTTCTTTTATAGCTTGGTATACATTATTTCAAGACCCCCTAGCTTTGAGGTCTGAGTAGAGAAATCAGCTGAAATCCAGTTTGGTTTCCTTCTAAATGTGACCTATTGTTTCTCTGGCATCCTTTAATATTCTATCCTTATTCTGTATGTTAGGTATTTTAATGTGGATTGGTGTAGGTCTGTTGTAATTTTGTATATTTTGGGTCCTGTAAGCCTCCTGTATTTGATTTTTCATTTGTTTCTTTAGGTATTATTATTATTTTTAATTTTTTATTGTTGGTTATTCAAAACATTACATAGTTCTTGATATATCATATTTCACCCTTTGATTCAAGTGGGTTATGAGCTCCCATTTTTACCCCATATACAGATTGCAGAATCACATCAGTTACACATCCATTGATTTACATATTGCCATACTAGTGTCTGTTGTGTTCTGCTGCCTTTCCTATCCTCTATAGGTATTATTTTATTGAAAAATTGTGCATTCCTTTGGTTTGTATCTCCAAGTCTTCATCTATCCAGATAAGATCTTTTCAGGTTATCCCATATTTCTTGGAAATTCTGTTCATGGTGTCTTAACATCTTTTCTCCATGGTCCCCTTTATTTTCAAGATTATATATTTTGTCTTAATTGCCTGAAATTCCATTTTCCAAGTGGTCTAGTCTATAGGGGATGCTACAGAATTTTTATTGTGGTTTATTGATATCTTTATTTCAAGATTTCTGCTTTATGTTTTTTTTTCACAATCTCTATTGAAGCAATCTTTCACTCCTGTATTTTATCCCTGATTTCATTCTTTACATCATCCTTTACCTTATGATCTACACTCCTTCTCTGACAGTATGGATCTGAGTCAGTAGAGTTTCTACCCCATGAACTTATAGAGTCCCTGAAGGTTTCCAGTTCTTCACTGTTTAGGAAGGAGAAAAATAATAACAACAACAAATGCAAACATATACAGCATTTAATCAAATAGTTTCTGTTATTATGTATACAATATTAATTATCACAGTAAACAAATGATATGACCAGTTATTGCCTACAATAAAAATAGTAGCTTTACAAAAGGGTTTACACTTTCAAATGGTTGACAGGGAGAGAACAGAAGTGATATAAGATGAGATGATTTTGAGGGAGGAGGAGCAAAGATAGAAGTAAAAAGTTAAAGGAAAAGTGAAAGGGAGAAAATAGAGATTGGCTGTTAGAAAAGAAAGAGAATCAAGGGAAACATTTTAGTGAGAGAAAAAATATATTTTAAGTAATAATTTAAAAAATTAAAAATAACAATAAAAGAATAAAAAGCAAAACTGAAATATACTAATCAAACATACTAATCCTCAAATACTGATCCATGAAAAATAACTGGCTTCAAAAATGATAGAAATGAGAAAAAAAACAAATATGAATGTGTATTAATTTCTATGAACCATTAAGTTCACAAATGAATAAAGAAAATAAAAATGTCTGATGAAAAGTTAGAGTTATTTCTATTGGAGTTCAAAAGATTCTCAGCTTCCCTTCCCAGTAGTGTTAGCTGGGGTCATCTGGAATGTGATTCTTGCTCCACCCTCAGGGTGGGCTCACTAGAGTGAGAGAGGTAATCGTGCTTCTCCAGGATCTAGCAATTGCTGGTCCACACTGGAGACTGCTCCTCAAGGATCTCCGCTGGATTCCTCTCGGGTGGTGGAGGAGCCAATTATTAGTTCACTATATCACCTGCAGATTCCACATTTCCTGGTCTCTGGTTCAGTCTCCAATCTCAATCTCTCTACCTGCCATTTCGAATTCTCAGCCATTTTGTCTTTCCCAGGTGATTTTGCAAGCAGCTGATTGAGATCTAGGTGGGTTTCTACAACCAGTAGATCCCTGTGTAAACCTCTCTTCACATTTTATTTTCTCCTGGTCACTCTACGTAATGCTGTATTGGTTTTTCAGGCCTGTATTTTGGGACAAACTCAGGTTTTCCAGGAATCAGCTCCCCAGCTGCTGCCACCCCCATCAGGACTGCAAAATGGTTCCTTCCATCTGTCCCAGCTGGGAGAGATGTGGCTTCTTTCCTGCACAAGAATATTGTGCAGCACACCTTTCATGGTAGTCAGACAGTATTTTTGATCTCTAAGTTCTCTGTACCCACACATGCCTCAGGCATCCTAAAAATGTGGGTTCCTTTAATTCTCTTTTCCCTCCACTTTGCTCATGGAAGGACTGTTCTAGCCAGTGCTTCCAGCCACAGGAGTGGCTGTGGCACTTGGGATTTCTTCCTTATTTTATATATCCAACCTCCTGAGTCCCCAATATGCTTTGAATATCCAGTATTAAATTCTAGTAAAGTACTTCCTGCCTTTTTTTCTCCACCCACCTTGCTGAGAAGCTGTCTATATGCTTCCTTAGTTTCATGCCATGGTGAAGCCAGGAAAGTGACCTTCTCTATTCTGACATCTACTCTCATTTAGTTTTCATTATAATGTTATTGTTTAAGTGGTTGGACATATGTCTTACATCTTACTTTTTTCTATAGATCTCATTTTGTTTTCCTCCTTTCCCTATTTTAAAAATACTTTATTAAAGTATTTTAAATACTTTAATACCTTTTATTTTAAACTACTTTTGAGTTTTGTTAGTTGCTAATATGCATCTTAATTTACAACAATCTATTTCGGATGAATGCCAATCCCAGTAAGATATAGCAACATGTTCTCATAGAGTTCTATTATCCTCCTCTTTCATTACACTATTATCATAATATGTTACATCCACATACATTACATACTTAACAATATTATGGTACAATTATTGTTTTTATAAGGTTATCTTTAAAATTTTATACCTGGGCTGGAGATGTGGCTCAAGCAGTAGCGCTCTTGCCTGGCATGCACGGGGCGCTGGGTTTGATCCTCAGCACCACATAAAATAAAAATGTTGTGTCCACTGAAAACTAAAAAATAAATATTAAATTCTCTCTCTCTCTCTCTCTCTCTCTCTCTCTCTCTCTCTCTCTCTCTCTCTCTCTCCATAAAAAAATAAAATAAAATTTTATACCTATTGATCATGGGTGGTAAACTATGACATATAAATTAAATCTGGCCCACTGCCTATTTTGGGGAACAAAACTTTATTGAAAAAAATGCATAGCCATTTATTTATTATCCACATATGTATTTTCATGCTAAAAGTTCGAGGTGCTCTTTATTCATTCATGTGCATTTGAATTTCATCTGACATCACTTTCTTTTAATATGAAGAGCTTCCTTCAGTGTTTCTTATAAGGTATTTCGGCTAGCAACACATTCTGCAGTCATTTGTGCATGTCTTTATTTCATCTTCAGTTTTGAAGAATAAGTTTAAAGGATTCAGAATTCCTGCTTAAGTGTTCTTTTCCCCAGCACTTTCATATGCCATCCCACTATTCTGACCTCCATTGTTTTTGATGAGAAGTCAACTGTTAACCATATTGTCATTCCCTTGTTTCTGAAGGATAATATTTCAAGATTTTCTGTCTCCCTTTGTTCATAATTATGATTGAGATGTCTAGGAATGGATCTTTGTGTTTATTGTAGTTGCAAATTCATGAATGTATAGGATAATATTTGCCATCAAATTAGTGAAATATTTGGCCATTATTTCTTCATTTCCCCCCTTTCTCTTCAATTTCTAAGGGACCACCATTATACACTTACTGGTGTCCCAGTGGTTTCTGAGGCTTTCTTTTTCCCCTCTGTTTTTAGTACTGAATGATTTTCATTGTACTCTCTTCATGTTTGCTGATTTTATGTTATCCATTCTAATATACTCTTGAGGCTCTGTAGTGAATTTTTCTTTTCAGTAACTGTGTTCTTAAAATCCAGAATGTCCATTTTTATTATGTCTTTTGTTGATAGTCTTATTTGCTGAGTCAGTGCTGTCATCTTTTAACTCAAACATATTTTATTTAGTTTTTTTGTTTTTGTTTTTATATAATTCTTCATTAATTCTACCATTTCCCCTTCCCTTCTAGGATGAGAATATATCTTGAGTGGTCTTTTCAGGGTACAAATCATTATACTTTGCTTCTCAGGTATTTCTTGTTGCAGAAAATAGGACATTTTAGATAACATGGTAAAGCAACTTTGGATTCCAATGGATTAATTTTCTTATAGGGCAGTGGTTATTGCTTTAGGAACTTGTTTGCACTAATTGTATGGATTCTATTTCCCTTGCAGTGTGTGGCCTGTAATACATCTATTCACTTTTTCATTTTATTTTATTCTTGGTTTTTATATTTAAGACTAGCTTCCTAGGCTTCTCTCTGGGTCAGCCTAAGTACTCAGACAATGACTAGTCAGAGGGTATACTTAAACACCTTGTTATGATCTGCACTTGTCCACAAAGCTCTAATACATTACAGTCCTAACTCCTGGTATCTTGGAATATGACAATACTTGGATATTAGGTCTCTGAAGTGTAATGAATTTACAATATGTCCTTAGTTGGACCCTAATCCAGTAAGGAATTAGGACACAGACATAAACAGAGTGAAGACCATGTGAATACACAGGGAGAAGACAGTCATCCAAAGCTATGCAAGAGGCCTTAAACTAAGAAAATAACAGTATAAACACTTTCATTTTGAACTTCTAGCCTCTAGAGTTGTGAGAAAAATAAATTTCTGTTGTTCAAGCCACATAGTCTGTGGTACTTTGCTATGTCAGCAATAGCAGAGCATTATACTCCTTAAGATAGAAAGACTTCTACCTTTTTCTGAGGAACTAGTTCAGCTTGAAAAATAGTTTTTATTATTTCTTAAAAATTTAATTGATACATTATAATTATGCATAACAGTGGGATTCACTGTGATATATTTGTACATGCACATAATTTGTTCAATTTAACTCCCAAGTATGTGCCCTTTCCTTCCCCTTCTCTGTCCTCCTGAACTTCATCCTCTATTCTACTGGTGTCCCTTCTATTTTTATGAGATTCCCTGTCCCCATTTTTTCTCAATAGCTTCCAAATATGCAGAAAACATCACTTGGGATTTTGGTCTGGCATATTTCACTTAACAATATGTTCTCCATTTCCATCCATTTTTTTTTCTGCAAATGACTGACTAAATTCATTATGTGTGTGTGTGTGTGTGTGTGTGTGTTTGCATGCTCATTTAAAAATTTATTTACCTGTTGATGAACATCTAGGCTGATTCTATAACTTGCTATAGTATGCTGACTTTCTTTTGGACTAATACCAACAAGTGGTGTAGCTGGGTCATATGTTCATTCCATTCCTACTCTTTTAAATAATTGCCATACTGATTTCCATAGTAGTTGTACCCATTTACAATGCCAACAGGGGTGTGTAAATGTTCCTTTTCCCCTGCATGTTTGCCAGCATTTATTATTATTTGTATTCTTGATGACTGTAATTTGAATTGGAGTGAGAAGAAATTACATTACAGTTTTGATTTGCATTTTCCTGATTGCTAATGGTGTTTGAATATTTTTTCCATGCATGTGTTGGCCATTTGTCTCATCTTGTTTAATGGATTAGTATTGTTGTTGTTGTTGTTATTTAGTTCATTTATTTAAGCAGTCAATGATACATGAATTGGGCAGCTCCAATACAAAAGTGCTTTGGCTTTGCTAAAGGAGCCCCAGAGCAAGGCTTTTATAGGGTGAATGCCAAACAGAACAAAGAAATGATTTGATTGGTTAAAGTTTGAACTGTTGCCTTTGGAGTATCTCAGTGAGTAGTTGAAGATAATAAAACTAAAGTCCTATTGAGCACTGTGATTGGTGGAGCATAAGTTTCATTTTTTCCCCACATTTTAAATTGTTGCATTATATATGTACATGATGGTGGGATTTGTTGTTACATATTTGTACATGCACACAATATAACAATATAATTTGGACAATATCACTCCCCAGCACTCTCCACCTCCCTCCACAGTTCTCACCTATTGTTCCCTTTTCTCTACTGATCTCCTTTTGATTTTCATGAGATCTAACCACATGTCCCCAAGCCCCAACCCTTTTTCCTCTCTAGCTTCCACATATGATAAAAAGCATACATCTGAATGGGTTATTTTTTAGGTGATATTTTTTGAGTTTTAAAAATATTTCTGGATATTAATTCTCTGAGTAGTTGGAAAAGATTTTCTCCCATTCTGTAGGCTCTCCACATTCTTATTGTTTCCTTTGCTGTGCTATTCCATTTATTGATTCTTGTTTTTATTTCTTGAGCTTTAACAAGTCTTATTAAGGAAGTTAATGCCTACACCAAGGTGTTGGAGTGTTGACCCTAAGTTTTTATCTAGCAGCTACAGTGCTTCTGTACTAATCCCTGGTTCTTGATCCATTTTGAATAGACCTTTTTTCAAGGTGATAAATAAGAATTTAGTTTCATTCTTCTACACATGGATATCCAGTTTTACAGCATTGTTGGTTAAAAAGGCTGCCTGTTTTCCAACGAGTGTTGTTGGCATTTTTGTCAAGAATCAGATGACTGCATCTGTGTGGGTTTGTCTCTGTGTTTTCTATCCTATTTCATTGGTCTACACACATATTTTTATGCCAATTCCATGCTGTTATTATAACTAAAGCTCTGTAGCATAATTTGAAATTGGGTATAGTGATGCTTCTGTGGTTGTTCTTTTTGATCAGAATTGTCTTGACTATTCTGGGTATTTTTATTCTTCCATATGAATTTAAGAAAGTTCATTTCTAGTTAGTTCTGTGAAACATGTTATTGGTATTTTGATTGGGATTACATTGTATCTGTGTTTTGCTTTTGGTAGCATGGCCATTTTAACAATATTAATTCTGCCTAAAAAGAATTTTGAGATCTTTCCATCTTCTGTGTCTTCTCCAGTTTCTTTCATTAATATTCTATAATTCTCATTGTAGAGGGTTTCCATCTCCTTGGTTAGATTTATTCCTAGATACTTTATTTTTTGAGGCTATTGGGAATGAAATTGATTCCTAGTTTCTTTTTCAGCATATTCACTATTGGTACATAGAAAAGCTATTGATTTTCATATGTTGATTATATATCCTGCTACACTGCTGGATTTGTTCAACAGATCTAGAAGCTTTCTGATTGAGTAATGTAAATATTCTAAGTGCAGGATCATATAATCTGCAAACAGTGATAATTTAACTACCTTTCCTATTGGTACCCCATTTTTAAGCTTCTCTTGCTTTGACTGATCTGGCTAAAATTTCATATACCATCTTAAATAGGAGAGGTAAAGGTATATATACATGCTTATCTTAGATAAAATGCTTTGTTTCCCCCCATTTAATATTATAGTGGCTCCCATGTAGTCTTTAAGATGTTTAGGTAAGATCTTTGTCTTCCTAGTTTCTTTAATGTTTTTATCAAGAATGGGTGCTGAATTTTGCCAAAGATTTTTTAAAAATATCTACTGAGATGATCATGTGATTTTTGTTCTTTTTTTAAAAAAAATTATTTTTTTAGTTGTACACAGTACCTTTATTTTGTTTATTTATTTTTATGTGGTGGTGAGGATCGAACCCAGGGCATCGCATGTGCTAGGTAAGCACTCCACCGCTGAGCCACAACCCAGCCCACTTTTGTGCTTAATTTTATTATGTGGTGAATTAAATTTATTGATTTGTTTTGTTGAACCATTTTTGTATCCCTGGAATGAAACTAACATGATTATACAGTCATGTATAATCTTCTCAGTGTGTTTTTGAATATGATTTTCTAGTATTTTATTAAGGATTAGGGACCTGTAGTTTTTCTTTCTTTAATGTGTAGTTATCTGGTTTTGCTTTCAAGATCTCACTGGCTTCATACAATGAATTAGGTGTTATCCCCTGTTATATTTCCTGGAGTAATTTTAGAAGCATTGGCAATAGTTCTTTAAAGGTCTGGTAGAATACAGATGTGAATCCATCCAATCCTGGGCATTTGTTGAAAGGCTTTTTATTTTTTCTTCAATCTCACTGATTGTCACCAGTCTGGGTTTTCTGTCCCCTTTTGTTTCAATTTTGGTAGATTATACATGTCTAGAAATTTGTCTATTTCTTCTAGACTTTCCAATTTATTGGAATATAAGCTTTCAAAATAGACCCTAGTTATATTGATATTTTTGTATTTCTTATGACTTGCTTTGTGACCTAAAATGTGGTCTTTTTTTGGAGAAGTTCCATGAGCAGCTGAGAAGAAAGTAAACCCAGTTGTTGTTGGATGAAATAGTCTACAGATGTGTTGGGTACATTTAATTTATAATATATATTTTTTTAATTTCTGAAGTGTCTTCACTGAACTTATACCTGGCTGACCAATCTGTTGGTAAGAAAAGCGTTTAAAATCACCCAGTATCATTCTGTTGGGGTCTATGAGAGCCATTTTCTCAAGTAGTGTTTGATTTACTTTATTCGTTTCCGGCGTATTTGTTATTGTTATATCATCTTGTTGACTTGAATCCCTTCACCAGTATGAAGTGACCTTCTTTATCCCTTCTAATTTGAAGTCGTCTTTGTTAGATATGAGAGTCACTACTCTTGCTTGCTTATGGGCTGCATTTGCGTGGAATATCAATTTTCAAATTTTCACTTTCAGCTATGGATGTCTTTGCTTGAGAGAGGTATGTCTTTTCCCAACAACATACAGTTTGACCTTGTTTTTAAAAACCCAATATGCCAGTCTGTTATTTGGCTGGAGAATTAAGACTATTTACATTCAGTGTTATTATAAATATGTTTAATTTGAACCTATTACTCAACTACTCTTTACTTAAACTACTTAACTACTTTTACTTAACTACTCTTCCAATGAGATTCACCCTTTCCTGAGTTCTGGTATTTGATTTTAACTTTCTCTGTCAGGGTTTCTTTATGTATTTTCCATAATGATGGCTTAGTAGTCATGGATTCTTTATGCTTATCTTGTAAGGTTTTCATTCTCTTTTGATTCTGAAGGTAGCTGTGCATGATATGGCACTTTTGGTTTAAAGGAATTTTCTTTCAGGGTTTGAAACACATTTTTCCAAGCCCTCCTGATTTTTAGGGTTTTTGTTGAGTTATATCAGATGTTGTTTTGATTGGATTACCTCTGTATATAATCTGATATGTTTCTCTTGAGCCTTTTAAAATTCTATTATTATCCTATATATTTGGTATTTTAAGAATAATGTATCATGGAGACCTTCTTTTTTAATCTTTTCTGTGTGGGGTTTTAAATGCCCTGTATGTGGATCCCCATCTAATTCCCAATGTTTAGAAATTTTTCTATTATTTCACTGAAAATGTTTTAATTATTATTTGTCTATATCTACATTCCTTCCTTAAATCCAATGATTCTTATGTTTGGTCTCTTAATGTTGTCCCAGAGTTGTTATGTATTCTGATCATGATTATTTTTTCTTTCTGAGTGTTCAAGTTAACATATTTTGTCTTCAAGGTCTGAAATTCTGTTTTACACATGATCTAATCTGTTATTGAGAGTTTCAATTAAATTTTTCATTTGATTTTTAGTCTTATATTTCCAGGATTTCTGTTTCTTTATATTTTTATTGAAATGCTCTTTCACATCCTGTATATTCTGTATTTCCTAAGTTCATTACTTAAGATTTTCTTATAGTTCCTTGATCATTTAAACATTTTTAAAAAATGTCTTCAGAATTTCATCTACTTCAGTATCTTTTGACTTAATTATTGGAAGGTTATAAACTATTAGAGGTGACTATGTTTTCTGAGGTCATATGTTTGTACATCCATTGAGTTGAATTCCTCTTCTCCTTTTGTGTGGGGGTCCTTTAGTGAGTAGTTATCTCATAATCATCCCTGGGCTGGGGATATCTTAGCTTCAGCATAATCAAAGTGTTAAGTTCAACCACCAGTATAACTTTGAGAGAATAACTGCTAGTAACAGAGGCAATTTAAAAGTAAACTTTATATCAACATATCCTATGTTATTCTAAATGATCTCTACAATGTATTGACCAAAGAGAAGAGTGAGAAATAATATAGAATGTTCTGGAAATATTAAGCATTAATGATAGTGTACTAAATTGAAGTGGAAGAATAAAAAAATAGAAAAAAGAAAAAAAGAGAAAAGTATATTGGGGCAACAAAAGATAAATAAAGGATGAAGGAGAGAAGAGAATGAGATAAGAGCAAAATAAAGAAGTATTGAGAGAGGACCCAATTAATTGACTAAAAATTTGTTTTTCTTTTTGTTGAGATTTTAAAGTTGGAGACCTGACTTTTCAGAGTTTTGAATTTAGACTCTCCCAGCTATGAGGAAGGTTGATAGACTTATTGTTCTGTTTTTGTCAGCTCTGAGTCAAAATGGCCAAACTTGTTAAGAGGAGTATTACGTACTCAAGTCTACTCCCTCCTTGCCTATAACTTCGATTAGTGAAGTACCGTAAGATTCAGAGCAGATCTCATTCTCAAAATGGTTGCTATTGTGACCAGGGATGGAAATGTAAATCTGGCAGTTCTGTTGGCTAACCCTTTCAACCATGTACCTGTAGACCAATCTGCATTGTTTTGTACCCTTTTGTCTGAGAACATCAGTCTGTGGGAAGGGGGTGGGGGTGGATGGGGGTGTAGGCAGTTGTGGAATGTGCCAGTTTATTCTCTATATCCTTCTGGACATGGGGGAGGTGGTGCAGGGCCCAAAGTAGGATGTTGTGGAATTGCTGCTTTTTACCTAACCATGATCAGTCCCAGTTACACCTTGTCAGCCATGTTCATTATCCAGAGTTCAGAGTGTCAATTTCATTAAGCAGTCATGGCTCCTTCAATCACTGTTTCTCCCACATATTAGTCTCCTTCCTGTGCCCACACTGACTCACAGCACGGTGCATGGGTACCCAATGATCCAGTGAAAAATAAAGCTTAAGTGACTGATTGGTCTTGAATATTCATAAAGAAAGTATGCCTAGAACAAGGCAATAAAGGGAAAAATAGAGAAATATGGAAAATAAAGGTAAACTGCAGGGATTTCCAGTCTCTGGTTCCAAAGTTGTTGCCACTTCCCTGTTTTCACTAACTTTGTTCTGCAGAGTGCTGAGGGTTCTCCCATGCCAGCTCAGCCTCTCTGTCTAAAACTGATGGGAGAATGTCTTTCAGCTTATTGGAGGGGAGCTCCCTCCACCACCAAGCCACCATGCCCACCAGTACTGCCTCCTTTTATTAACTTTTTATAGTCTAGAAACCAGTACTTCAGGTTTTCATCTGGTTGCTAGTTTTGTATTGTCTACCAGTGTTTCCCCAGTCTTCCTATCTTAATTTACCACTGCAGAACTGGTTTTTAGATCACTTTCCGGGAGCTCTTATGAGTTTTTAGTGTCCTCTGATCCTCATTTTGTTCTGAATCAAAAAGTATTTCCAAAGCTTAGGCTACTTAATTGTCTGTCTCAGCTTTTACTTTATTTGGCATGGCTTCTTTTTTAGCTAGAGGTGAGTGGCTCACTAGAGCTTTCTCCAGTTCCTTTGTGCATATACCCTTGCACATATTTATTTTCTTCCAGACCATAAGAGATGTTATTCTATAGTCTTCCTACCTTGACTTGCCCTTGTAGAACTAGTTTATTTGTTCAGTTTCAGGGAGCTGCTATGAGAATGTGTTTTCCTCAGACCCTCTGTTTGTTGTGAATTGAAGAATATTTCCAAAGTTTAGGCCTCTTATAAGTCTATTGCAGCTTTTACTTTACTTTGCATGGCTTCTGTTTAGCTAGAGGTAACTCACTAGAGCTTTCTCCAGTTTCTATAGTGTGCATATCCAGGCACATATTTATATTCTTCCAGACCATAAGGGTTAGATGTTATTCTATAGCCTTCCTACCTTGACTTGCCCTTGTAGAACTGGATTTTTTGCTCAGACTCAGGAAGCTGCTACGAGAATGTGGTTTCCTCAGATCCTCTGTTTGTTCTGAATTGAAGAATATTTCCAAAGTTTAGGCCTCTTATAAGTCTATTGCAGCTTTTACTTTACTTTGCATGGCTTTTTTTTTTTTTTTTTTTAGCTAGAGGTGAGTAGCTCACTAGAGCTCTCTCCAGATTCCATAGTGTGCACACCCTTGCACATACTTATATTCTTCCAGACCATAAGGGGTAAATGTTATTCTATAGCCTTCCTACCTTTACTTGCCCTTGCAGAACTGGTTTTTTTGTTCAGTTTCAGGGAACTGCTACGACGTGGGGTCCTCTGATCTTCTGTTTCGTTCTGAATTGAAGAATATTTCCAAAGTTTAGGCTACTTATAAGTCTATCTCAGCTTTTACTTTACTTTGCATGGCTTCTTTTTTTTTTTTTTAAGCTAGAGGTGAGTAGCTCATTAGAGCTCTTTCCAGTTTCCTTAGTGTGAGCACACTCTTGCACATATTTGCATTCTTCCAGATCATAAGGGATAAAGATAATGTTATCAAGGTAAATATCCCATGTTGGCTGTCTTGTTCTCTGAATCTCTGTGTTGAGTTTCTGGCTGGTTGCTAGTCAATTTATTGACCAACAATATTGTAATCTCAGTCAGTCTAGGAGTGACTGTTATCTCTATTGGTTTAATTACGCTAGTCATGGAAATTTCTGTGTTGTGCCTCAAATAAAATTAACTCTCAAGCAGCAAACTGTTGGTCCTCAAAGTGTGAATCACCAAGGTAAATTTCTGCATAACAAAACCAAGGAGGTTGAAGGAATCAAAGTGAGCCCCAAGCTAACATATCAGAGACGAGTTTTTATTTAGATCCAGTATATATTCACAAACACTTCATAATTTGTTGTATACATTGGTCAACTTCCAGAATATTTTTAGGAATATTTGCTATGTGCTTACTTAGTCATTCTGTAAGTCCTATTCATTCTGTATTTTTTTAAAACTAGATCTCATGAAAGTAGGGAGGCCATTAGAATAGAGAAAGAGGATCCTGGGGAGAAGAGGGCAAGGGGACATACTGAGGAGTGAAACTGACCAAATTATGTCACATATATGTATGGATATGCCACGATGAAACCCACTGTTCTATATAATACACACCAATTAAACATATCTATGTGGATTATATACATATGGTTTTACATTAATTATATTATTCCTTAACATTTTCCTCTCAAAGATGTTAGTCCTCTTTTTTTATCTCTATAAATGTGGACACATATCAACACACATGTGCACACGTGTGCATGCACACACACGGCCCAAAACCTTTTTCTGGTCTCAGTTTGTGTACTTCAGTCAGTCCCTAAGTCTTACCTGACCATCGTATGTAAAATACCTTTGCCTTATCTCCTTATTCTGCCTTTACTTCATAACATTTTACTATCATGATTATATATAGTATATATGCACATATATGACCATTTTATATATAAATATCTTTCTTCTCCACTTGAATGCAAATTCCCTGATGAAGAGACAGTGTCTTGTTAGTCATCCTTAGTGCCTATTAAAAAACCTAGCAAATAGTAGATTCTTCATGAATATTTGCAAAAACCATGAATGAATGTTAGGTATCTAGTTATTTTAAGCTTGTGAGAAAACAGACATTCTCATATATTTCTATAGTATTATTAATTATTCCAGCATTTTGGAATATTAAACTTGACCCTACACCCACATTTTTAGGAATCTACCACTTCCAGAAATAGTCTCTTGTTTGCAAAAATATTTGTATTGAAATATTTATTGAATCATTGTTTATAATTTAAGAAAACTGGGAACAAAGTTAAATATACAGAAATAAGGGAACGCGAAATATATAAAAAAATAAGTTATAAGAAGGCTTTCTTTAGATGTGTTTTTTAATGAAAAGATGCTTATGATAGTTGCAAAAAAAGACATGTAACAAGATGAGAAAATGATCATACAATTAGTAAAAAAATTTTTTATGTAGATTTGGATGTGTGGATGTAATGCAGATTATATTAAGTGAAAAAATCACTTTATACATTTTGATACGTAGTTTCATGTATTGCTTTTGTCATTTTATGTTTTCTATTTATTAAATGAAGGGGGAAAAGTAAATAATATATTCCATTTTATTAATTCTAAACACTGGATAGTGTGCTTTATCACCTTACAGAGTAGCTTTCTAGAAACTTATATCTCTTGATTTGCCTGAGTAAACACTTACCAACTGTGCACAGCAGCAGATTGAATGTGCAAGTGCAATACCAATTTCCAAGAGGTACGAAGCCAATAAAATACGTGAAACTTCCCTCCCTAGTTTCTGTAATCAGGAAATAGGGAGAAATCTTACATTATTATTTTTAGTAAGCACAAACAAGCTCATGGAAGGAGCCTGTAGTATAAGAACCAAGGAAAAGAAGGAAAACAATAAATGGACCTTTTCCCAATGTGATTTCCCTAGACATTTTTATTATTTTGCTTTCTTCTTAATTTTTCATGCTACACTTCTTCCCTATTCATTGTATGTGGCTTTCGTCCTTGATCTTCATCACTTAGCATTCTTGTTACACTTCTTATAACTTTTTAATTAATGTTTATGTCCTCACTACAGAGTCCCTGGCACAACTTGCTATGTAAGGTATCCAGTTAGTAAGATTTGGCCCTTCTATTTCTAAGGATTAGATGGCAACCCAGAGGTTTTTTAACAAGCTATTTTTGTTTATTAAGACAGCTATTAGTAACTACAAATTTACTTAAACTTACATTTGTGGTGATAAAAATTTCTCAGAGATACTGCTGTAATAGCATAGAATGATGAACAAATTAAAAAAGAATTCAACAAACATTTTACTTGAAAGCACAAGTGATTGTGACTTCCAGGATAAATAAAATAGATCTCTTCTGATGTTACTGGAAATATTTTCAACTACATACATTATGGGTGAGCTATGCAAATCATAACAGAGCTCTTCCTGAATAAGCAGTCTTTGTACTGGCTATGTAAATAAGGATATTCAGACCTAAAAGAAATAGCAACATAATTCACTTTCCCTTCAATTTCTTCTCCTCCTCCTCTTCTTCTTTCTCCTTTTTCTTTGTTGGTTCTATTTAATATCTTTTATATGTGAAAAAATGTTAAGTGTTAGGGATTAAATAATGAGAATACAGTGACAAAAACTTTCTGCTTTCTCAGAGTTTATAATCAAGTAGAAAAGACAGAGAATAAGTCACATATGGTAAGGTTAATGTCAAAATGGATAAAAATATGCTTAATAATTATAGGCAGTAGGAGGTTCACTCAAAGCCACTAGTATCTAGAAAGGCTTCATGAAGAGATAGGATCTTTGAAATAAGGGTAGTGCTGAGGAAAAAAGGAAGGAGAAAGCAGAATTTTAGGCAGCTTCAATTTTTATTTACTTGTTTCATTGCAACCTTTTTTCAGAAAGAATTTACACCAAAAAAAATCAAATAACCCAATTAATAAATGGGCTAATGATTTAAACAAACACTTCTCAAAAGAAAAAATACAAACAGCCAACAAGTATATGAAAAAAAGTTCAATATCATAGCAATTAGGGAAATGTAAATAAAAACTACACTGAGATTTCATTTTACACCGCTCAGAATGGCAGTCATCAAGAATACAAATAATAAATGCTGAAGAGGATGTGGGGAAAAAGGAACACTTTTACACTGTTGGTGAGACTGTAAATTAGTACAACCAATATGGATATCAGTATGGAAGCTCCTCAAAAGACTAGGTATGGAGCCACCATATGACCCAGTTCTTCTACTACTCTTCAGTATTCATCCTGAACAATTAGTGTCATCGTACCACAGTGATACATGCATACTCATGTTTAGCAGCACAATTCATAATAGTCAAACCATGGAATCAGCCTAGGTGTTCATCAACAGATGAATGGATAAAGAAAATGTTGGCATTTATACACAATGGAGTGTTATTCAGTCGGAAAGAAAAATGAAATTATGGCATTTGTAGAAAAATGGATGGAAATAGACACAATTATGTTAAGCAAAATAAGTCAAACTCAGAAGATTAAGGGTCATCATGTTTTCTCTCATGAGGAATCTATGGAAGAGAAAAGAAAAGAAGGATGTGGTGGATCTTATGAAAATCTAAGGGAAATCAGTAGAGGAAAGAGGCCAAGAGGTGGGAGATGCGGGTGGGGAGCACAGAGGAGTGATACTGGCTAAATTATATTGTTATATTGTGTATTGTGTGCATGTATATATATGTAACAACAGATTTCATCAGTGTGTACAACCATAATGCACCGATTTAAAAAAAGTGGGAAAAAAGAGAAATAGCCTCCCCCAAATAAGTTAAAAGTGTGACAAAATAATTAACAGAGAAATAAAATAAAATGAATAATGGAGTTGTATCACAATGACCTAGTGTATTTACACAAGCAAACAACACAAGAAACTAACATGTTTGAGGAATGATAAAGAAGTTTTAAATGAAACAGTGTTTGATCATGTATGACATGAACAGGAAGATTAGGAAGATTGAAGGATTTAATTCTAATTTATGTTTGTTGGCAGCAATACAAAATCATAAAATTTCAGGTGGAAATTATTTGTGGCCTCTTCACTGGCAAGACTGTTAAAAAATCACTCTGCCTACATCCCTTTATTTGTAAGTTGGTGTTGTTGTCAATCTCTTCCCTTAAAGCAGCAAGATGTCTGATGGAGCAGCTCAAATAGCAAAGTAAGAGAGAGAATATGAGTTCTTGAAATATAATCTATGCTTATGAACCAGGCTTAAATCAGCAAGGGCTCTTTTTTGCTAAGGTCAATTTGCATTATATTTCCTAGACTTAAACATAAGAGAAATCTAATTTTAAAATGTTAAATAAAGAATAAATGATATTTGGTAATTTGGAAAGCCAGTACAAAGAGAGGAGCCAAGGTTAAGATTTTGGGTCTAGAAAATTTCAACAAGGGGGTACTGTACTTTCAAGTAAGTAAGCAATTTCTATTTTATATCTTTTGAGTTTGAGATGATGATAGAAGTATAGCCAAGTAAAGAAGTCAAGCTAGCCACCAGATTAATAGGCTTGGAGTTTGAGAGAAAGAACAAAACAATTAGCTACCAGGCATGAATTAGAACATTTTCCTGTTTACACATAAGGATACTAAGGAACAGGAAGCTAAACTTCACCAAAGCATTACACATAGCTAGCAGGTATAAGGATAGTATTTGAACAATGCAATCTGGTTCTGGAGTCTATACCATTAACCATGTTGTTATATGGGAGACATATTTCAGAGGTATGCACTTTGGGGGACAGATGATAGTGTTCCTCGGAACACTGATTACTTGGATGACTTTCTTATGTAGCCAAACACCTTTCTTATGCTATAAAAGGGGCATGTGAAAATATTGTAAAATGTTGGCTATCTTAATAAATGTAGACATAACTCAACAACGCCACTGGGAAAAGCCAGTGGGTAAGAAATGTATGTCTAATGTACAAGTTCATTTTGTATAACCAATCACAGAAAAAAAAAGATAAAACTTGTGGTTTTGGGGAAAATCATTAGTACTGAGTTCAGATAAGTACAGTCAACAGTGGTTCTTAATATTTATTGCAAAAGACAGGTGCTGTGATTTGGACAAGGTTTCAGTGCACCCCCCAAGGGTTCATGTGTTGGAAACTTGGTTCTCATTTGGTAATTGTAAGAAGTGGCAGGGAACTTTCAGAAATGGACATGGGAGGAGGGATTGTTAGGTCACTGGAGGTGCTGTTCTTAAAAGGAATTAATGTAGTTCTCATGAGACTCTAGCTAAATCTTGTGAAAGCGTTGTTATAAAGGAGCAAGACTGAGCCTTTCCCAATCTTTGTTTTCATGTCTTACCTGTAGACCCTGTCAGGTACTTTCTCCCTTGATATTATCTGCCATTAGGCCCTTACTAGAGGTCAAACAGGGCTACCTATCTTGGGACTTTCAGCCTTTCTTTCTTGTAAGTATACAGTCTCAGTTATTTTGTTATAGCTTTCAAAAAACAGACTAATATAGAAGGTCTTGACAATTATGCAATATTATCTTAAATTGATGATTATAAATTTAGGAAAAAGAATGGTGACCTAAGTACCCTGAAACAATCATACACTTAATAACTTAAGTACACCCTTCTTATTCTCTGCAAACAAAATCACAATTGAAGTTATCTATTTATTGAATCACCAGATATTGGAGATTTTTCTTAGAATTTATAGGGGAAATCTGGGTATGTTTATTTAAGTCATTTATTACACACCATCTATTTTGGGGTATTACTGTACTTTCAATTATTTGCTTATTATTCTACGGTCTTTCTTTCTTTCTTCTCTTTGAAGAGGGGTACTGAGGATTGCACTCAGGAGCACTTGACCACTGAGCCGAATCCACAGCCCCATTTTGTATTTTATTTAGAGACAGGGTCTCACTGAGTTGCTCAGCACCTTGCTTTTGCTGAGGCTGGCTTTGAAATCACGATCTTCTCGCATCAGCCTCCTGAGCCACCGGGATTCCAGGCATGCGTCACTGCACCCGGCCATACAGTCTTGTTTTCTATTCTCTGAATTATTTCCACTGATGAGCCTCTACATACTATATTGCAGGTAAAGAGAGGAAGTGTATAGGGAAGGAGAGAAAGTCATATCCCTCTCCTACAGTAACTCTTCTAGTCATTATTTTATAATAATTGTTTTTTCTTTTGTTCTGTTGGCCAGCCCTTCCTGCAACCTTTCCTCATTTTAAATGGGAGATTTTTTTTATAAGCATTACTAAAGTCTTTTGTAGCACTAATTTTGTGATTTGAAATTTAAAGCCAGAACAGCTGGAATAAATGTAGTTAATATCTTAGGAAGAAATATAGTGATTTCATATAATCAAAATTCATATAAGATGCAAAGATAGGTTGCTATGAAAAGTTCTGTGAAATGAGAAATCACTAGGCATTTAAAATTTGAACTATGCATACATAGCAGAATTCTTTTGTTGATTTGGGGAATGGTTTTATGGTCCAGGATTATGCTTTTCTTACATGAAAAGAATCATCAGAGACCTTGTGCCTAACGCAAAGACACTTATCATTGAAGTCTTTATATTTTTTACTTGCTTTATTTTAATTGGGAAAATCAAGAATTCAAATGGCTTGTTAATATGAACTAAAAATATTACCTTAGAATCATTTTTTAAAATTAAGCTCTTTCAATCAAGACCTCACTGCCACATAAAGGAACAATACAAGCCTTGTTTTATATCCTAAGTCTTCAAAATCACTGAAAATAATAATTTTTAAATTAAGGTTTTCCTATACAACAGGCCACTTACCGCTTGTCCATAATTCCTATATGACACAGTATGAAAAGTAGACAACTCAAGTACTGTTAGACATAGTGCAATAAATGCAGTAATTACAGAGAAGATGTTCATGATCAAAGCCCATATCGTCTGAAAAGGAGACATAAGGTAAATTTATTATATTCAGAATAAATACTTTGGTTAAACAGTTTGTCTTGCTAAAACAAAGTCATCTAATTAAAAACTTTGATCTAGTTTGTGAGGCTTTAGAAGTATTTGTACACTTGCTGCTCATGCAAGATATATTTCTGGTTTACACAAAACCCAGTTAATGTAGACAAAACATTAAATTATCAACAAACTAAAAAGCATTAATCTGGGCTGGGGATGTGGCTCAAGCGGTAGCACACTCGCCTGGCATGTGTGTGGCCCGGGTTCGATCCTCAGTACCATATACAAACAAAGATGTTGTGTCTGCCGAGAACTAAAAAATAAATATTAAAATTCTCTCTCTCTCTTTCTCTCTCTTTAAAAATAAAAAATAAAAAGCATTAATCTTCCAAATCCATTGGGGATCAAAAATATTGTATTTTACAATCTTGTGAATCAGTTGTAAGAAGATTGTAAAACATGATTTGAACCAAAGGGTTTCAACTGAAAGGAAAATTAAAAAAGGAGAAGAAAAAAAAAGTAATGGAAAATGAAAACTGCTTGTGGAAATACAATCAAACGGAATTAAGTTTTAATCATAGATTTTAATTATCTGGGAACATTTACCAATAACTTTAAACAGATATCAAATTTATTTATCCTATATCACAGATCTTTTTCCTGGACAAATGCCCAACTTTGATACAATCCTATTTACAATCTGACTTTCAGAAAATGAGATTTTAGAGCAGTATAATATCTATATATAAAGGCATTAGGTTCTGTTAAATGCTTTCTAATCATGATATTCATATAATGTTAAAAGGTAGAATACCAAACAAAAAACCCTAAAAACTATAATTTATAAGCTTTTACATAAGGTAATCATGAGTTTAACTACTGCAACATATTTGTCTCCATTAACTTATGTAATCCTAGATTTTCACTTAATTTCTTAATTTGTTTTATAGGGTGTGTAGACTACTTCATTATTCTGAATCATCTTTTCATTAAGACCTATTGTTAAGCATAGTGATAGTCAATTCTAGAGATATCCCAACATTTCAACTTACCAGGTATTGACTCGATTTCTGTGTTGATCTTATTGTGGAAGCTCCTGACACAATATACTGAACATAAAAACATAAGTATTTATTGATAATGATTGCCAACTTAAAATGTATTTTTAAAATTTTCTAAGTCAAGTATTTTTAGAATACTAAACAGTAATAAAAAAAATAACTTAAAGGGATCAGGATAAGTATCCATCATGAAGTAATGATGCTATCCAAAGGTTATAAAAAATAACCACAGGGTCACTAGTAATAGAAATATATAAGGGAATGTGGACAGAATGCGGACTGTGGCAGTTCTGAATCTGGGATCATGTCTGATTATGTGTGCATAAAATATTTCACACATAACTCAGTTATTTCTTCTAGTGCTGTTGCTTCTAATGAGATGATGCATTGGCTGAGTACATGTCCAGATATGGAAAACATGGCTTGTGAGTTGATCTCACACTGTGATTTACAAAATACAACTCTTATAGTAATTACTAAGGTAAGAGCTGCTATTTATGCTTTTGTTTGATTTTTCAAAAAGAGATCCCATTATTTCATGAGAGAATATTTATTTCCAAGAACAGGAAAACAATACCATATTGTTCGAAAGTGATCTGTACAACCCCCTGAAATATTCCTTGCCTTATCTGTTTTAGTGGTTTTATTAGCAAAGGCTAATTTTAGGAAAAAAACAGCATTCATGCAACACCCTTTATTTAAGAAGGTCAAAATTTGAAACTTATAAATTCCACAAGAGTAAATTTAAATCACACATTCTACACTTGCTTCTGTAAACAAAAGCTGAGATTTCTAAGGAGGTAGATGGTGAAGAGAAAAACTAACATGATATCAAAGTGAAAATACCTTGTGAATTTTAAACGAGAGTGCTCTCCAACTAGATTATTAAGTCATTTGCTTAATAAAATGCCTTTCAAAATTTGCAACCTGAAAATTTTTTTACTGAATTACATTTAATTGAAATTCTAGAAAATGTATTGTTTAATATGCTATTTTTAAAAGTTTTTTTTTAGGCAATATGTGCCTCTCACATAATCACATATGCAGGGAACTTAATTTGCTCCATTTCAGTTCCCAGTACTTCCTCTTTCCTTATCCTCCTCTCTCTATCTTTTGCCCTTCCTTTACTCTACTGATCTTCCATTTATTTGTTTTTTAAATTGGTACTTTATAGATAGACATAAAGGTGAAATGTACTTGGAGTCTCCTTCCTCTTCCTGCCTTTCCTCAATTCCCTTCCTCTACTCTAATGATTTCCCTTTTATTTTCATGGGATTCCCCCTCACACCACCTTTTCCCCTTATTTTATCCTCGCTTCCTCAGATGAGAGAAAACATTACACCCTTGACTTTTTGTGTCTGGTTTATTTTCACTTAGACGAGGTTCTATATTTCCATCCATTTACCAGCAAATGCCATAATTTCATTCTTCTTTATGGTTGAGTAAAACTCCCTTGTATGTGTTTTATTACCTTTTCTTGATCCATTCATGTGTTGATGAGCACCTAGGCTGGTTCCTAACCTGGCTATTGTGAATTTCAATTGCATTGTTATAAACACTGATGTGGCTTTCTCACTATAGTATGCTGATTTTAGTTCTTTTGGATAAATATCAAATAGTGGGATAGCTGGGTCATATAGTGGTTCCATTCTTAGTCTTTTGAGGAATCTCCCTCCATAAGCTCTGCCAAAGTGGTTGTACTAATTTGCAGTCCCACCAACAAAGAATGAGTGTACCATTTTCCACACATTCTCACCAACATTTATTATTTGTATTCTTGATGACTGCCATTTCTGACTGGAGTATGATAAAATCTTAATGTAGTTTTGATTTGCATTTCCCTAATTGCTAAGGATGTTGAACATATTTTTACATTATTAGTTGGTCATCTGTACTTCTTTTGAAAAATGTCTGCTTTGTTCATTTGCCCATTTATTAATTGTATGTATGTGTGCATGTGTGTTAAGCTTTTTGAATGCTTTATGTATTCTAGATATTAATCCCCTGTCAGAGAGTAGCTTGCAAAGATATTCTCCCATTTTGCAGGCTCTCTCCATATGCCCTAGTTTTCTTTGCTGTGCAGAAGCTTTTTAATTTGAAAATTTAATTTGAAAATTCATTATTTTTCTCTTATTCTTTTTCCAAGGCAATGCTTTGGTATATATAAGTAGTGCATCATTTATTAATGAGTCAGTACATCACTTATCAACCATGCATCATTATCTGGATTTTATATGAAAATTAAATATTTTTATCATTATTTTTCTATCTTCTACTACTGAAATGAATATTATAATGAAATCAATATAAATGTATTGTACTCACAAAAATTCCCCAAAAAGCACATCCTGTTTTGTAAGTTATAGGTTCATATGTCCCAAAGACTCCTTTAATTTGTCCCATATACAAAACCAATAGGAAATACCACATGAAAATATGAAAAATGCCAATCATAATCTGGATAGCCTGTAAAAAGAGAATGTTGTTAGTACTGAAACAATGTAATTTAACACACAATTCCAATGAATTTTAACTATAAGAAATATTCAACACCTTTATAAAAGATGATGGTAAAACAGCAATACACCTACCCATGTATTTCCTGAATTGGTTAGTACAGAAAGAAGGCCCTAATCAGGAAGGACTGAGGTTTCTCAATTAGGAATCAGCCATACTAGACTAAAATATTGTTTAAAAATAGTAGCTCTGACCACTTCTCCCATAAGAAAGTTAACAATTCAATTATACCACCTGTCAAGTTATGGTATAAGGAAAGAATACTGACAGTATGTAGGAAAATGTGGTTCCTAATCTACTTGGATGCAGGAAGCCATATATTTGACATTTTCTTGTTCTTTTGAATCTTAGAAAGGTTTACCTTTTCCTTCAAGGAATACTTGGTATGTATGGATTTTTTTCACAAGCATGCTAGAGTAAACCGTAATCCATACAATAACATAAAGCATATCTCAGGCAGATCTGCTTGCATTAGATCCTTCCATTAGATAAATGACAAGTTAGAACAGGAGAGAATTATTATTCAAGTTTAGCTTGTAAAAATATATTATCCCAGAAAACTTATTTTCAAATTTATGTGAGCTGATAATTCATATACTATACATTTTTATAATTAATCTTTAAAAATGATGGAGTGTTATTTTCATTTTCATATAAACTTTAATAGGAAGCTATTTAATGTTTTAAGAGTTTTTGTACTTTGTAAAGCAAGTAGTCTATGGAACACAATGCACTTAGCTAGTAGAGAATGTATTTTTCTTTTTTTAGATACCTCCTTTTTGATAACAATCCTATCTATTCTTTATGTTTAGCATTTAAGCTTTCTCACTGCATCATATTTACAAGAATGATATCATTTCAGAGTTTTTTGGACTTAATGAGAAACATTACCTACTAAGATTGCAAAATTCCTCTTAATGAGAAACATTACCTACTAAGATTGCAAAATTCCTGAGGGCCTGGACTTTTGTGGTGAGCCGTGTTTGTAGACCGTTGCCGCCATTAGAAGATGGTGCCGGTCTCCGTTGTGGATCTTGGTAAACAACTCCTTATTTGGGAGAGTTGGCGTGCTGTCCCTCAACACCCTATGAGAAAACCCCGCGTGGCAGCTTTGGATTGGACTTGAGTAAGCTTTATTAGGCTATGCTTGGGCGCTCGGCAGGGGGTCACTAGAAGATGATACATGAAACAAGGCCTGAATAAACTGCTGAAAGAAGAATCTTGTGTCGTGTTTTCCCTTGCCGGCGAGGGGTCGCGACAGACTTTGTTTTTTTCCTTATTGCATCATCAGTCTCTAAGTGCCCAGCACAGAGTGGGCACCCAGTAAATACCGCCTGCATAAGCATACTGGTATCAAGAATACTAATTCCATGTGACTTTGCCAGGGATAAAAGGAATAGGCTTGAAAAATAATGTCTCTTTGTATATGACTAGATGCTTTTCTATAGAAAACTATGAAATATCTACATAGTCAAAGCTTATAAAGAACTCTGCCAACAGGCAGGTTTTCTTATTTAAAAATGGCTTTTAATGCTTGGGATAGAGCTTAGTGGTACAGCACTTGTCTAGTATGTGTGGAAGCCCCGGGTTTCATCCCCAGAACTGAGAAAATAAAAACTAAGTTCTTAATTCAGTGCCAAAAAGTGGGTTCCATGAGGTCAAACTCCCTCTCTCCCACTTAAAAAAAAAAAAAAAATCAAAAAAAAAAAAAAAAAGTACAAAAACAGCCATATATCTATGGTTCTGGGGGAGAAGATTCAGGCTTTCATTCTATCTCAAAGTGGTCTATGACCCCAGAGAGGTTAAAATTATCTGCTAACAATCTGATAGAAGACTTAAAACAATTGGCATACACAGTATTCAAATTCAGAGGAAGAATCAGTCAATGGAAAAGTTTTCTTCCTTTTAGATGTAAAAGTGCATGATCCTCATAATTCTTTAGTATTTATTAAGAGTAAACTGTTTTTAACCTCACAGGTTTATAACTTAATAAGACAAAATTACCATATCCTACTGTATAATAATTAAAAAATCAATGATAGTCTCTCTTAAAGTTAAAACACACACATACCCTCTCTTTTTAAAACTTTATTCCTTGGGTTTCTCTAATACTGTGTGTTGGTTTAGTCAATGTTTAAGAATGTAACATTAGTCGAAATTTGTAGAAGACAATCAACATTTTTTTAAATATTAAATTCTTATCCTTTGATTTAACCAAAGCTATCCCTTTCCAGATCCAAGAATACTCTTCTCAAAACTGAAATATTTACGACCGTGAATTCAGTCAAAGTGAAATACTACTTACCCCTAACACAAGACTATCTGCTGTAGAGGTGTTCCCACATGCCATACTATAAGCATTTCTTCTACTTGATTTTGTTTCTAACCTTTGGTGATAGCTTTATTAGCAAACTTCTACAAAACAATACAAAACACACACACATGATTTCCTCAGAAAAAAATACATAAGTTTGATTCTTTTTTATAGTTTTAATCATCTTCCTAAAGTTAGAAGCAACAGTTGTTCTTTCTATGCTTCAATTCTTAGAGGTATCAGCATTATCCACCTCTTCTGAATGACAGCCTCCATGACTGAAAAGCCTCTTTGTGACTAAAAAATACTAGTATATTACAGATATCACCTTTTAGTGGCAAGCAGTGTCTATAGGTGACCTAATAGAAGGGACATGTAAGGAACAGTATTAGAGAATTTACAGTAAAGCATTCAACAATTCATTTGCAATTCATAATCAATTTAATATCATTCATAATGCCACGTTTACATTTAAAAAAAAAACTTCATATACTTGAATTGGCCAACTGTGCTTTTTTTTTTTTTTGGACACATACTTCCTACTTAGTTCTTCTCTCTTTATAAAAATAATCTTTTCTTCTATCACACAACTTACTTAAGTTGCTCTGCAATCCTAACAGTAGCTCCTGTTCTTTTTTTCCCCTTTAGTCTTCCTAGTGTTTAGATCATCTTTGTATTAAGATAAAAACTTGGCTAATAATTCCATTCCCTTGTAGGACTGTATCCTTTTGTAGAAGTGAAATTCTGCATCTGCTAGTATGTCACATAGGAGTCATGACACCTGACTGATGATTTTAAAATTTCAGTCTTGATCTTTTCAGAAAGGGAGTTTTGACTAAATGATCCCATACCCTTAAAATTTAATGGCTTGATTGTTTTCATTAATCCTTGTTTCTGAAATTTATTTTCTCAATGTCTCTTAATGCTTATAAGAGCTACTGATAACAAAAGATAAAAAACAGTATGTTAGTAATTGAAGCAAACTTTATACATTCAATTTGAGAGAAGTAAAAAAGGAGGCTTTGGATGTATAGGCAACCACGTTAAATCTCTGTGTCACAATTAAATAAAATTCACAGAATTATAGAATTCACGTAGAATAATGATGAAAAATCATTATTTGCCACTTTTCAGATAAGAGGAAAATAAAAATAAATCCTTTTTTGTATTTAGAGGAATTCTTTTTACACTCACTGCTAAACAGTGGAAGAGACATGAAGCGACTCTGGGTGTAAAATATTTTGCAACACTATAATCTCTATCAGGCCCCCACTTAAGCCACCCCAAGTGAAACAGTCAAATAAATATTAATGAGAAAAAAGAATGTGTGTATGTGTGTTTGTGTTTAAAATCCTCAGCTTATTTGATGGAAGAAAGAAACACTCCAACATTCATGGAACAATTGATTGGAATTCTTTCTAAAAAAATTTCTACATTTGGCTACTCTACAATCCACTTATGTATCATGTTTATGTAAATGGAAATAATCATTTATTTGTCTTTATTATCTGGTGGTTCCATCATGAACCCAAAAGGAGACAAAGAACAAGTCTGCTAGTCCATATTCCAAACCCTAATCTCTTACTCCAGGATTGCTTTATACAGAAATTCTACAACAATTCTCTTCTAGTACAGAGCTTGTACTAGAATCCACTTCTAGCATCTTCAGTAAAACATCTTCGGTAGAGATGCAAACCCGCATTGTCTTTAGGAAAAAAACCAAATAAATAAATAGAAAAATTGAGGGCGGAAGGGTGGGGAAACACCACTTATGTCCAAAATTTTCAAAAACCCTTCACCAGCCAGCTCACCTTTACCTCCCGGGGGGCCACTACCCGGTTTCAGTCTAAAGGCTGCAGCAGGAATCTTTGGGAAGCCTGCGGTGATTGACAGGACTGTTAGATATTCTTGTTTTCCTAATATTTTGCCCATAATTCCTACTTTTGATTTTCAGGGCTGGCTCCTACGTCAGCAAGAGCTCCCAGAAGCCAGGGAATTCATTTTTGCATGTCCTGGGCTAGGACCCAGAGACTGTAGCTGGAGGAAGTGACAAACAAGGGGCGACGAGGCCCAACCTGCAGCGGGGAGGCATAGTGGGGCGCGGGCCTCAGACTCCTTGCCCCGTTATGGCTACCGACACGTTGGGAAAGCAAAGCAAGCGACATCATTACCTCGCATTTTACTTGTTCAAAGTCCCAAAGATCGAGTTTCCCCCTCTCCGGTCCAGGCCCAGGATAAGGTTTCCCCCGCCTGGGCCGTCACCCTGGTCCGGGGCCTCACTCCAGCGCCCGGGTCCGCTGAAGAGGCAGATCCCGGCCGAGGGCGGCCTCAGCGCCAGGTTCCCAGATGCCGCTGCGTGGCCATCAAGAGGTAGCCCGGAGTCCAGCCCTGAGCCGGTCCTCAGGCTCCTCTGGTGGCTAGGGTATCCAACGGCACTGGCGCTGTCCTCGTGCGCCTGCGCGAACACTTGAGTACGGGCGGGGCGGAGGGAGTACGCGTGCGCAGACCCACTAGGGGCCCGGAGCCACGTGATCGGTGCACCTGCCAACCTTTGCTGGGAATCTCCAGCAATGGCTGCTCCAAGGTATTGCTTCCTGGTGTCACTTATAAACGTGTCCGCGGCAAAATGGCCAGGTCGTTGATGAAAAGTCAGTCCTTCATCCATTCTGTCCTCAAAAATTTTGATCACAAATGTACTTTATGAGATGTAAAACTTGAAAAAGGCAAATCACTGAGTTTACATTTCACCTCCCATTCAGGCAAACATGAGTAAGAAAGAAATAGCATTCAGAGTTCTTCCATTTTTCCCATGCCCCCACCCCTACTCCCACTCCATACCTTATTTTAAAAAAAAAGAAATAGCAAGAGGCCAGAATAACTTTTTTACCAACCTACTGGGGAAGGGGCTGGGTGCATTTTAGCTCATCTACAAAGTGTCAGTTTTCTATTTGATGTAGGCAGTAGTTAAAACAATGTTTATGAAGACAAGTAGAAACCGCAGCTAGAAAAGAGTCAGATCTAAAGGGTGGATGAGGAAGTTGGAGTGGAGTTGGGGTTCAAGCAAACAATGTACTCTAGTGAGTACAGATTTTTTTTTTTTTAGTTGTAGTTGGACACAATACCTTTATTTTATTTATTTATATGTGGTGCTGAGGACTGAACCCAAGGCCCCGCACATGCTAGGCGAGTGCTTTACCACTGAGCGACAACCCCAGCCCCAGCAAGTACAGATCTTGTTAAGCAATTACAGGTGACTTAATGAGGTGTATCTGGAGATCAGACATTCTATAGGCTAGTAAATATTTTGAACTTTGATTTGTGTTCCTGGAAACTTTAACTTGACATTTTGGCTTGCAATGTAAATATTCAGTGAAAGCTAGAGAGTCAAACATTCAGAAAGAAATATTTTATAAAGAAATTTTCTAAGTATCTCCAACATCCGTAGTACTTAAATCTACCAAAAGAAATGAGTAGTATTTAAAGCTGCCAAGATATTTTGTGAGCTTTTTTATAGCTTGAAAAGTCAACTCAAAAGTGGATTTTTTTTTTCGTACAGTTAACTTCCTTACATTGGGACTCCAAAGTCCTTTCAAATTAAAGAAAACAACAACAACAACAACAACAAAAACGCCCAGACATTTTATAGTCTTTACATTTTAAACTGGTCAGTGTATCATTGCAGTTATTAACTTTATTCTTAAGTCACATTACACTTTGTTTTCTATGTTTGTATTGTTTATTTGTCTATGAGCAGAGAAATTTAGGAGGATATTAGCCATTCTGTGTGCTATAAAAAGAACAACAACCTTGAATGCCTGTTCAAGATTAATCCAAGATTATGGATATATTAGAATTTGTAGTGGAAACAGCCAATTCTAATGGGAGTACTTCTTCATTCCTCTGATAAAGCCAACTCTGATTTTTCTCTATACCTATAAACTGGATTGGAAAAATTTAGAATTCCCTTCTTTTTAACTTTTTTTTTCCATTTGATTTTTCTATGGTGTCCATCCCTTAGTAATGATGAAGCAACCAGTCAGAGTTTGGCATCCAGTATGACTCACTTTTTATTCTTTTTTCTTTTTCAATAATCCTCCATGTGGATCATGTTTTTTATTTGAATGGATTTTCTTTGAATTGGTTCGCAGAATATAAGAGACAGTAAGAGGAAATGTACTGAAAATACCATGCCTTTTATAATGTTGTTAAAAACCATTGTTGTAGATGATTAAGGCAATACTGTAATCAGCATTGGCTTTGAGCCTGATAAATACCATGTCCCAATCCCTCTGAGGAATTTCATTTTATTTATATATAAAAACAGATACTTACTTCATGTAAGCACCAGTGTGTTCTAGTAAGAAAAATGGAAATTAATCTGTGTAGACTAGGGTTATTGTAGAAATACAATTGTTAAAATGTATGTGTATACATGTGTATACAGAGTATAATGTATAAGTGTATATGTATACATATCAAGACATATATGCATATACAGTGATTTTAGTTTTCATATAGTTACCATTATCACTTGAATACTGTTCTTAATAAAATGTTACTTAATAGTTTAAAAATATTTTCCTCTTTTTTAAATTTACTATCTTGAAGCAACATTTGAGTGCCTTAAATTGTTTATTTCCACTTTACAACATATCTGCTGTTGAAAAAGTCAAAAGGTCTAGGGATGATTCCCAACTCCTGTTCTGGCTGCATACACTCCACTGTACAACTCTTTGACTTCATTTTCTCAATTGTAAAGTGATGTCTAAGACCCTGCACCCCACTCCCTACCATCCAAACTCAAGGTAAGTTTGGTCAGCATCCGCTCTTTGGGAAAAGTGGAAAGTTGTGAATAATTGATTATTAGAGAAGTGTGACAAACGCAAAACATACTTTTGGAAAGAGAGTGTTCATAAATGTTGTACTGGCCAAGCATGAATCAAAGATATGCGTGTATCTGAGATATATTTATGATTTCCAGAAAGATATCTCTTGAACTCATGCACTCTATACTGAATTATTCACCTTCACTAAAGTCTTACAATTTAGAATTGGAAGACACCCTAGAATTCTGATAATAATCCATACTTTTCTGAGGCAGGAAGAGACTAAATACAGGATACTTGAATTTTGAATGTATGTGAGTACATGTGTATGTAGCCTAAGTCATAATTTTTGGGTAAATCCAGCTGTAGTTATGTGTGTGGGGGAAAAAGTACATTAACATTTACTCCATTCTGTTTTATATTACTCCAAACAGAAAATATTCAAAGTCTAAATTTTATGTAATAGTCTAATAATGTTTGGTCACCAAAGAGTAGTATACTATACTTTTTGGAGAAATTAATGAATAGATAAACACTTTTTAAAAATGTGTCAGAACGCAAACAATAGTGGGCACATGACCTCTATGTTGAGCTAGTGTTTCTATGTCAGTCACCTTCTCAGGTGTCAGATCATAGGCACATTTTCAGGAAACTTATAAGTTTTAAACTTTGAAGTCAAACATTTGATTTTATATTTTAATAGGAGGTCTAATACATAAATAATATAAGCTTCCAGGAAATAGAATCTTTATCTGTTTTTCTCAAGAACATAGAACACTGCCCTGTCCAGAGTAGACAACAAATATTTACAGAATAATGCATGAATATTGTTCTTATCTGGATAAAAATCCAGTTGATCCCATTGCTTAACATGAGTTCACTATTTTAAAATGTTATGCTTATAGTGTTGTTTAAACTACTAAAGTAGGTGATTTTAGTTTTTGCATTCCAAAGAGCCTCAAATAAAAATTTTGGATGCTTGAGCCCAACTCAGCAACTTTTGACTATCTAGTCACAGGAGAGGTTGGCGGGGGTCCTTGGCAGGAAGTACTTGACACTCTGGAAGTGCAGTTAGGGGATTCCCAGGAGTGATTCAAAGGTAATGGTAACCTTCAGGAAGCAAGTGTTGAAAGCAGTTATTGTTATATTACTAACCCTTTTACCACCTATCATGGAGTGAGGCAGTTCTTTCCAAACAGACTGAAAGTTTAATATAGATAAATATGTTTTTGTTTGGAAGCTGAAAAATCTCTGATGATATCTGAGACAGTAGGAAATGCCTGGACTTAGTCATCAGATTTTTGGGGTTCAAATCCTTGCTGTACTCTTTGACAGCTTCCTGTCAAGTTTTTTAACTTCTCTGTCAAAATTCCCTCATCTGAGAATGAAGCTAATAATAGCATCTACCACACAGGGTTGCTGTATTAAATTTGTTAATGTAGGTAAGTGTTTGAAATGTGACTGGCACCTAGAGCGAGCTAAATAGTTGACTATTATAATTACTATTACTTAAACAAATTGAAAATAGGATATATTTGTTAGAAATTTATCTTAAAAATAACTTTGCTGGGAATAGCCACAGTCCCTAAAGGAAGTGTTCCTTTTATAGTTGTTTGCTTTATGTGCTTGGATATACAACATACCATGCCCCCAGACATTTGGGAGGGCAACTGTTTAGTTTCTAGACCCTAAGACCATAATACATGTCTTCCCTTTTGCTGAGCTGCTGGTGACCCAGGCAGGGCTAGAACCTCAAAATGGTGTGACTCTCCCCTGACATAATATATTTGCTATCTCAGATGCAAAAAGTCTGTTTTCTTCTGCTTCTCCAGTGATTCTTATTTCATGGCCTACTCATTCATTGTATATTTTTTCCTCATCTGACTTCTTGAATAATTTCAGAATTTCAAAAATGGATAATACTTGGCTGTTGTCAAACCATTTTCTCCTCACGCCTAATTTGTCCTTCATAACAACTCTACAGGATAAAGGCAGATATCTCATTTTTTAAAAAAATCAGTTCATCTGTTCTTTTCCATTTTTCTCACTTCTATGAAGTTTAGATTTCACAAGGAATTATTTTAATAATATTTAAAATGATGTCTTTGGGTTTCTTGTCTCTTTGCTATTTTATTATCCTCTCTAGAAAAATCCTAATGCTAGGTAGGTGCTTTTTCTGGATCTGTGTCTGGGCACCCAAGCTCTGGGGGGCAGTTTGTTTGAACTCTAAGTTTGTGATCATCCCCTCAAACATGCCCTCAGCACAGCCCGGCAAGCCTCCTGTTTCTCTTGCCATTTTAGTCTTCACTTCCATGACTTTTTGTCATTACCCATTTTGT